ACAACACTTATTCCAATAGTTTCACAGTTTCACAAAAATGGCTCCAAATTTTTTCTTTAAAAGTGCTGAATATACACTATAAGATGTCATAAAAACCATATTTCTCTATTCTTCTGTTTTTTCAAAAAATACAAAAATTTAATTTTTTTACTTGTCTCTCATGTCATTAATATTTATACTAGCAGCAATTTGTCCACATTATTCTATTTATGAGTACATGTGCTTTAATTAAGTCAGACTAAGTTTCTTGAAAACTCAACTGTTTTTGGTGTAAACTAGCCCAAAATTCCGCATTTTCAGAAACACTCAAATTCCATTTTCTCAAAAACGGCTCAGAATGATTTTTTCAAACATTTTGAATGGATAGTGATAGTTGCACGCTTTAGTATGACATAAAGTTAATTTCAGTGTGCTTTTTTGTTTTTTCCAAAATTACACAAAAATTAAAGTTTTTTAATGATCTCCCAAGACTTTAAAATGCACATTTCCAGCAATTTGTAAACCCTATTGTATTTGTAAGTTAATGTACTTAAAATGAATTTAAGTGAATGTTTTCAAAAACTCACAACTTTGCTGTGAAAAAGAGCTTTAAATTTTGAATTTACAGGACCGCTTAAACACCAGTTTTTAAAAAAGACTTCAAATTTTTCCAAGACAATAGCCATTTAGTATGAGATTTTACTGTTCTTTAATAATCATAAAATAATATTTCCACTCTACAATGAGGAAACCAAGAAATTAAGAAAATGTCAAAAAACCGTACTTTGGGCAGTGATAGATGGCAGCAGGCGAGAGCATGTGGCAAGCTCAAATAGCAAGCTGAGACCAAAAGAAATAGAAAACTAATACAGGAAAGTCTGTGCCATTTTGGTCTGTGTCACTGTGATATTTTATTTGTTCCTTTTGATTGCCCCTATAGATATTAGTTTCATGTAAAAAGCATGAAAAGCACCTATCAAAATGCCTTGTAACCAGAGTTATTTTTCTTCTGTGTTTGAGGTTTCATCGATTGGCAATCCTAATTTGTATCCTTTGTTTTACACTAATGCTTGTAACCATTCACACATTATTTTCCTTTTCATATCCTATTTTCAAGATATTGAACAATTTTCTGTTTCTATACTCCTTTTAACTTTTTTAATACCTCAGAATAGTATTTTAAGCGAAATGCTTATAAATCAGAAAAAAGAAATGAAAGTATTTATCTAAAATAAATTGAATTAAACCAGCAGCACATCTATTTCATATGTATTACTTTATATTGATACTGGAATGAGAAAATTCTGTTATGAGTTATTTCCATCCATGCATATACAATAATGTATGTCATACTTATAATCCTTTTTTGAAACGACATTTCTTTGAACGTCAATCCTGTACCCATACAACACATAAATTAAAACTGTAACATACATTTAAACTTACTAATTCTTACATACATTTAAAACTCACAGTTTTTTATGCTTGAAGAAAAGTCCTTTCCAAATGATATGAATTTTTCACCATTAGCTAAGTGCAAGAACAGTGCTGACTCAGGGTGATCTAAATCTTCATTAATATATTTGTTGCTGTCAGTAGGTGAGGAACTGTTGGATGAATTATTTTGATTTTGAATATCTTCAGTCAATTTAGTGCTGTTTTGTTTAATTGTAGACTTGTTGCTGTGAAGAATTCCAGAATCTATGTTTGATACATCCCATAAATTTTCCAGTATAAGACTCATCTTCTTTGTGTCAGATAAAAGGATTCCAAACTATAAAGAAACAAATCCATGAGCACCTAAAATATTTAGCAATTTATTTTTAATAAAAATGCTGACCACCTCAAAATTATTTGCTAACATATTAAGGAATAGAATGCATGAGTACAGTGAAAACTTCATGGGTGAAGAACAATGTGGATTCAGAAAGGGCAGGAGCACAAAGGATGCTATATGCACAGTACAAATTATATTAGACAAAAGAAATGAAAGAAACTTACCAACATATATGATATTCATAGACTTTGAAAAAGTGTATGATATGGTGAACAGGCTTAAACTGGAAAATATTAGAAGAAGAAGGAATACTAGAAGAAATCATCAATGGAATAAAAACACTCTACATGGACTCAAAAATCGCCCTAAAAATGTATAATGGGACCATCACAAAATCACTTCGCACAAATAGAGGACTGTGACGGATGTGGCCTATCACTCAACCTTTATAATATTTATGCCAACAGACTCATCAAAGAATGGAAGAAGTCAGTTAATCAAGGTATATAACGTAACAAAAAACAAACTTTACTAACAGTTCTGTTTGCTGATGACCAAACAATTTTGGCTGAATCAGAAGATGAACTCCAAGTAGCAACACATGAACTGAATAAAATAGCAAAGACCTATGACATGAAAATCTCGACAAAAGTAAAACAAAATAATGGCATTCCAAAGAAAGAAACTAAGAATCATGAAGATAGTCATCGAACGGGAAATAATAGAGCAAGTATCAACTTTCAAATACTTAGGCAATGACATTGAACTAAACTCCCAAGACCTCCAACTCAAAATTTTGAAATATAATAGGATAAATGGAATAATAAAAGACACTTTGGGAAAGACATGACACAAGAAACCAAATTAAGAATTCACAACATGACAGCCAAACCAATGCTATTATATGAATCAGAAACCTGGATCCTAAAACAAAGAGACAACCAAAGACTGGAAGCAGGTCAAATTAGGTTCCTAAGACACCTCCTTGGCTATACTAGACTGGAACCCCCTTGGCCCCCTGACCTTTCATCCTGCAGTTCATAATGATGATTTGTAATAAATTAGAATAATGGATATCATAAAATTAAATGTTGCATACTTACATTCTCCTTGCCTGCCGAAAGTCCTCCCAGAAATCTCTCCAAATTTATGAACAAACCTTTGGGTACAATATTGTTATCACTTCCAATATAACTGAAGCTTTGTCTGTATCCCAAGTTTCCCAGTTTTGCAAACATTTGTGACTTAAATGAATGATATGAATATTGTATTCCCAAGTTTTTTGAATTCACCAAATGCATGACTGACTTCGCATTTTCTTTGCTGGAAAAAAAATTATTTTTTCTGATTATTTAAAAAAATTAATTAATTTCTATAAAGAAAATTTTAACTATTATACTAATCTTTCCCTGCAATGTAATATTCTTTTCAAAACAAGGCTGGTGAAATGCAAGTTTCCTAATATTAAATTATCTTGGATGTCAATACTGGCAAGAAAAACATAATATATTTGTTTTTTATAAAAATTACTGATTAATCAATTACAGAATTAAATATTTTGATAGAATATGAAAATAAAAACTTACAATTCTTCATCTTCAGGATTGGTAAGTTGTGCTGCAGATTGTATTGAACTCTTTACTGCTGCAATGACTTGATTATTTGAATCAAATTGGGTCAGTTCAACTATTTTCTTAAGTATATTTGCGGGTGGTTTGGTGTGCATAAGTTGAAATACAGCAGCTGTGCGAACTTCATAACGTTCTTTGTCGTCAATGTATATGGCATAGAGAAAATTTCGTGTTTCCTCTGGGTATAGTTCTGAAATTTTCTCTAAAGAAATAACAATAAAAGCTTTTTGAAAAGTACTAAGTGGAGAATCACTTTTTAAATATTGTGTAAAAATATTTAAAATTTCTGGATGAGCAACGTTACACAAGGCTCTTATATATATATGAATTTTACAGCTATCTTTGTTCTTAATAGCATTTTCCAGATGTTCTTCTAGATATTTAAGATATATATCTTTTAATTTATCAGTATTATGAGTCATAGGACCAAATATGTGCACAGGATATAGTGCTTTTTGAGCATAACTGTCTACATAAACTTGAGAAATTATATTTGAGAAAGCCAAAACTGCAGATGCATGAATATATTTTTGCTTTTGAATTCTAGAATCTTGAACAAATCCCTGTAATGTAATTTTATTAAATATTAATTATAATTTTAAAAATGTACAATATTGCAATTCTTAGATCAATAGGTTTTGGAAACATACAAATAATCCATCAATATATTCTTCATTTGGTAACTCTGATGTTCTTGATAATGCTCCAAGAATATCTTCAGCTTCAATACTTGTAATTTTATTGAACAAAATCCATTCTTTAAGCAATATCAGGGTAGGTCCAGTGCCTGATTGAACTGCTGCATCACGAAATACAACCCTGGAATAAGTGAAATACATAATTTCTGTCATCTTTATGAGTAATGTGTCAATATATATTAATACTTAGATTTCAAGGAAAGAACCTTACCAAGCCAAACGTTGATTTTCATCATTACCACGTGGAGGCTGATACATGATATTTGATACACGATGAAGCACTTCATACTCAACATTTGAAATAAGAAATGTCAATTGACAAAATGAGCTTAATACATTTTTATGAATTACAGATTTAAAATTTAATATGTTGCTGGCTATATTTTCTGAAAGAACTTTAATAGCGTGTTCTATATCACTTTGAGGTAGAGCTGATTTATCACTACTTGGGTATATAGATGTAAAGGAACTGAGATGAGGTTTTTGCAAACCATTAGATACATCAAGAAATTGAAGTATCCTGGATATATTTGTTAATGAATTATCACTAGGAATGTCAGGAGACATTGTAGAAACACTTTCATTAGTTTCAGGTAAGTCATATACAAGGGTAGAGGCTGTTACATCCAATGTGGTATTATTTGCCATTGTTGAAGTTACTACATTTGTATCATTAGTACTAGGAACTGTTGAAGTTTCAGTAATTTCAGTTGTAGTTTCTTCAGTTCTGTTTTCAGTATGAGGAGTAATATTTGTGCTATTCTCTACATAAGGAGTAGTACTAGTAGTAGTAATAATAGTAGGAGTTGTAGAAGAAGCAGTACTATTACTAAGAAAGCTTATTGTGCTATTCTCTATAGGAAGGTTTGAGGCATTAGTAGGTGTGGAGCTGGGTATATCAGTAGAATTGAACACATCTATTGGTGGTGTAACAGTTTCTCTTGGAAAATTTACATGCCGTGCACTTCGTATCTTATTTTCTGAATCTTTATCTTTTTCATTATTGAAAGAACCACTGGTAATATCAATGTTCCCATTAGATTTATATTCATAATCAAATGAAAGTGTTGAATTAATTTCAAAGTTCAGTAAAAGTGGTAGTTCAGATTTTTCAATATGTACTAAAGTAAGATTAACACAGCTCAGTGTCAATCCTTTTGTTTTTTTATATAAGGAAGGTGCAACAAATATTTTATCTTCAATAGTGGTGGAATGTATAGTATAGTCCTGCAGAGTTCCATTTATTATAAGTCTTCCCTCTGTTTTCCTCTGGAATAAAAATAAATTGCAAATGAAAATATTTTTGTTGGTTTCATTGAAGAAAGATGCAATGAACATCTGTTAATATATTTTGTCAAAAGTGATCTTGTGAAACAAATAATACATTTTCATATTTTAAAATTATTTTATTTTCTCATCTTACTTGGTCATTTTGTCCAAAATTGTGGACCTCTTTAGAGCTAAAATGACATTTCATGATAATGAATGAAATTACTATTCAACAATACCAAGCAATAATCACTCTATAATTGAATTATTTACTATAACTTGAATTATACTTCAAATTGAGATTTTATTATTTGATTCACATTCATTTTCAACAAAATATACTACAGGTAAAAGTTTAAAGGGGAGTATTGCAATGAAAATATAAGTACAGAGAGATGTTTGCTGGAAGACACACAAGATACTATTCTTTTAATAACTTATCATTTAATCATAAGTAAATCTATTGTTTTACACTTTCTGCTTGTTTTATTTATATTTAAGAAACATCTAAAAATTTATGTCTTCAATGGTAAAACAAAGTTCATTGTTAACTGTTGGTTGTGTTCAGAAAATCAAGTAAAGACTTGCATTTAATCAATGTCAAGTACATTAACACAAAAATGTTTTAACAACAATCATGGTTAGAGAGAAATGGTAATAAAATATTCCTCTTCAGAATTTGAAAAAATTGAAGAAACTAATTTAGTCATCTTAAACAAAATGACAATTGGAATGCACGGAGATTTGATTTACTTCTTTTGTGATGATAGCCACTCACGATTACCCATCAACCTTTAATAAACCATTACATTTTGTTGATTTTACATAAGTTAGCATATAGTTAGAAAATAAAGACAAAATCAAAGGATATAATAATCTTAATTTTTTCAACTTTCCATCTATCAAACTATTAATAAATAAACTTACTTCTATTATCTTGCATTTCAATACAAACAAAAATTCTAAAATTTCTTCAATTTGTGTGAAATTTCTAATAAATGCTTAGTTTTAATTTTACAATTGGTTATCACAAGAAAATAAATTAACTGAAGAAAATTATTTAAAACATTGAAGTTGATGGAGAAAAAAAAAGTTTTAAAGGACAATTTCAACTTAAGAAAGCAACATTTCTTCAAATGATCTCAGTGTCCTGGCCTTGGTCACAAAGGAATATGCATTTATTATTTGAATGTGCATTAATGAAATAGGTATTATAGAAGTTTGTGGGTTTTGTGAAGCCCTTAGAAAAATTTTTCTATTACTCACATGAATTACATCAGCAACATTTGAAAAGCCAGCATCCCAGTTCTTCTTTCCATTTATTCCTCTATGGTAAACTAAGTGCCTTTTGCAATTACTAAAATTACTTATCTTGACCACATCAATTACATTTAATAGTTTTGGAGAATTATTGAGGATTGGCGCCAATGCAGGTTTACTTCTGATAACATTTTCAGGCAAGGGCGAAATATCATAGAGAGTTTCACATTGTCCTGTAATTGATTCCTGAAACAAAACACTGTTTTGTGAAATGAGACAGAATGGGAGATCCTTATACCTTAGGCAACTTTTTTATTGACATGATATCCTACTTTGTTGTAGGAAATTTGCATGTTTTTTATGCTCTAACAAAAGCTCCAACTTTATTTTTATTGCAGTAATTCTTTTATAATTGTTCCTTTCATATATCAAAACACAGGCCCATGCTCTTGGACTGAACTTACACACACTTTTGTTTTGCTGGATAAGCCCTCCTTATGCTTTAATTTTGTTGTTCTCAAAAGTGTTTGACAACTTCCTTGACTTCTGGTTTTGGCCATCTTTTTGCTCTTGTTGTTGTCCAGATTTTGGTAAGATTCCTCAACCAATTGTGGCAAGTAAATTTAAGGTATCCAATGATAAGGACCAGCAATAGATGGGTTCCTGGTATTATCAATGGTTTTTGACTGTGACAAACTCAGATGCTTATCACCTAGGATGAGTCTTGGATACTCATTTCCTTGAATAGGCCTATCCATTGCATACGTGGTCAAATATTGATCATCTTATCAAGGAAGGGGAAGTCCACTCTCTATGGGAGCTCCCTGCCACCTTGGAATTATGAAGTGGGAGTTGGCACCTGTTGAAGTCATGCAATTCTGGGGTTCAGCATTTATTTTTAATTTTGGAAGTATGTAGGTGGCCACCTATAAACTTCAAAAATTAAAAATAAATGCTGAACCCCAGAATTGCATGACTTCAACATGATGTGCGAGGTAAGGAAACGGTGAAGGGTACAACTGCCTTCTTGATGTAAATCTATAACAATTATTAACAAAACTATTGATTTTGTTATTTTAAATGAATAATTCTATTAAAAACTGTAAGAAGTATAATGCCTTTGGTTTACACTTAGAATTTAGCTTAACACCTAGTAGAAATCCAATCATACCAATGTTGAAAATTTTACTTTTGACATCACAAACTGAATTAATTTAAATAACTCCAGAATAAACATGGATACACATAAACATGTTACAAATAAAAATTACAGTGTTGCCACCATCTCACACTCAAAATGGAATTTTTTTCTCTAACAGTTACTTCAAAACCACTGCTTGCCTGAGGTTAAAGGAGGTTTAAGATACAAGGGTTTCCCCCTATATCATTATAAAATATGGATTTGTTGAAAGCCATCTTTGACATCTTAAAATACTTAAATGTCATACACACATTAATCAGTAGAATTATTAAATATAGACTGTTTATGTATTTAAACTTTAATTATTCAAAAACCTATTCATGAAAATTGACAAAGCTATTTCTGTGGACATTATATCTTTGACACATTTCATTCTTTCTTTGTATGTTTTGACTTATTTTCTATGTAAATTATAAGAAATGTTAAGGAATGTAATTAAAGTGAAAAGAACAAACCTCCATTGTTGAGAATGATGTAGAAGAATTATTTATTTGATAGTCCTTATTAAGAACGTTTGATGTTATTTTATTTTTCCCTTCAAGATCAATTTGCAGTTGACTCAGATAAGTTCGAATTATATTTGCTTCTGTTAAGGGTGTATTTCTTGATAAGAAAATCTCGTGAATCTAAAAATTGAAACACATTTTTATTGAACACACATTTTATTTTTTTAAATATCCTGTTATGATGGTGTGTTCACCAGAATTTCTTGATTCAAAATTGATAATGACATATTTTGCAAAGAGTAACTTTAAATAAAATTTCCTTAATTATTTTTCTCTAAATCACAACATAAATTATGTTTTCATGCTACATTGCTACTTACTATTCCATCTTTTACTTTTGCCCCAAAAGTGGTGTTACTTAATTTGATTTTACTCCAATTCAAATAAGTTTCTTCAGAAGGCAAAGTACACTCATTAGGCGATGTAGTGTGGATATCAGCATATTGAATGTCTGTGAGCTATCAAAAATTATGTTATCATTTTGTGAAAGAAAATTATTAAGAGGCACATTTAAATTTCATGAGGTGAAAACCAGTGGTTTTATTTGACATAATGTAAAATTTTCAGAATTGTTCAACTAGTGATGTTTAAAACATATTCCAAAACGAAGACCTGAAGTTCATGTATTGGTCCTTTTTTTTCTGTATTGGTACTCAATTTTATTATAAAATTACAAGAAGTTATGTACCAGTATTTTAATATATTTAACAGTCCTTGTAAGCAGATAGAATGTTTTCTGAATTCTGAATTTAGAGAGGGAGATAATTTCTTAATTTCAAAATTTTTATAAAAATATCATTAACTGTAGACATGCATTTCAATACAGAAATATTGCTAATATATAGTTGCCTGAAGCAAGTGACACGCCCTCAACAGGTGATAAGTCAAGATCATAGTAAGTTATGCAGGAAATATTTTAATTAATGCAGCTTGAATAAATGCAAGAAATGAATCTGAAATCAAATTATTAGTAAAATTTTAATCTTTAATTTGTGAAATGTACTTTATTTTTTTTTAATTACTTTAAAAATTCAAAGTCAATGATCAGCAGATTTGAAACTACTTTAGGCTTGACAATTTTTTTCCTCTGATGGCACTGAAGGCAGTATGCAATATTTCTATAGATTGCTATCTACGAACCTTCCCCATAGAAATTTTTAGTGAAGTGGTTTTCTTCTTATTAGTACCGGTTAAAATAACTGCTTAATAGCTGTTCTTGATTTTCTCTTTCCCTCTCTCACTTGCTATCTCATCCTTTCCATACTACATTCCAATGAAAGTTGTCAACCTTTTGAAAGTAGGAGTGTCCTAGTGTATAAAATCATTATTATGAACAATGTTATGCCTATCAGCTGCTCTTGTTAGTATAGTAGACCTGGTGATTTACACCACCAGGTTTTCCTGTTCTCTCCAATTTTTGTCATTCAATATCCCTTTGCCCTCAGAGTTAGTAATTTAATTTTGGTTTTGGAAGCCTTCTCCTTCACCCTCCTTATGTGTTCTAATAATTTATTTTGATAGCCTTTTATTTCTTTTATAATTATTTTCTCTTTTAAGTCTGTTTCTTTTGTATTTCTTTGCCAATTCTACTGTGTTATTTCCCAAATATTTTACAGGAATCTCATTTGTGCTGTTTTCAATCTTTGTTGATCTTCACTTTTTAGAGTCAAAGTTTCTAATCCAATAAGTAGTGTAGGTTTGGATGTCATGTTCTGTATTCACAATTTTATTTTCTGAGTCACGTTTCTCCCAAAATGTTTTTTAATTTTTCTATTAGATTTATTATATTTATGGATTTCATTTTCTTGATCTGCATTTTCTCCAATATTGTTGCTTAGATTACAGAATTTTGCTGATTATTCTATGATTTCTCCTCCTTTTACTATCTTAAGTCGCCTAACTTCTTTTCCTTTTCTTTTCTATTCTTTTCTTTTTTTCTTTTCTTTTTGAAAAGCCATTGCTTTGGTTTTACTTGCAGAGATGATCATTTCATACATTCTTGCAATTTTATAGAGTTTGTTCACTGTAATTTGTAAACTATCTTCTGTCTCCATTACTATTACTAGGTGATCAGCATAAAGTACTGTTTGTACGATTTGCTTTTGATAAGGTATATTCCAGTGTGATTCCAGTGATGTTGATTTTGTACCTCCTCAAAATTTTTGAGATATTTCATTTTTTATTTGAAGAGTAATTTCATTTAATACACTCAAAGACAAGGAATATAATGATTGGAATTTGATATTCATATATTATATATAATATTTTAATATCATTTTAAAATTATTGTAGTATAATTTCAGTTTCATGTAAACTTTTGTCAATTTGCACCCAAATGAGTATGTGAACACCAAAATCCTGTCCAGAGTTGTTCTTTTAACCTATCAAGCACCAATCAAGGTCTAAGTTGAGATCCAAAGGTCCACTGTAGTTAAATATTCGTATGAAAACTTTACATGACATTACTTGCTGTAATTATTGTTAAAAAGTCCTAGAACTGAATGCTTTTGTTACACAAAAATTTTAATATCAAATCAATATATTTGTCTCCATCTAGCATAGCCTTCCTATACTGTTAATTTGATTGTGCAGTTGTAGTACTTTTTCGCATTGACAGCTGTCTTAGATGTCATTGTTTGAATTCTTCATAATATTAAACAAGTTATCATTTCCAATTATTCATCAATTTTTAAAATTAGAGCTAAGCTAACTTTGTTTCTAGTGTAGAACGCAATTTATTGACTTAGAAATGGATGAAATAATACTTGCAAAAATCAATACTAGAAATCATCTCAGAGGTCTTGCATTGCTTAGTGCCCATAGAGTGATAGAAAAATGTGAATATCAATAAGGTGATTAATGCGTTTGCAAAGAAAAATGACAATTAATATTATAACTATTTCTGTGAAAATGTTATGTATTATTTCTAATGTTGTGTTTAATTTAGTGCTTTCATTTGGAAATTTAATTTTAAATTAATTAGATTAATCAGTGCGGCAAATCTTCCACTGGTATGAACAAAATGTGAACAATTGTTTGAAAGCAGTTGTATTCTTTTAAGTTTAGGGATTTGATTTTTCTTCAGGTTTGTTTCCTTGAAACATTTTATAGCAGAGTTATAGTTCTTTTGAAGTAATTTCAATTATTCATGTTTCATTTATTTATATGGAAATGGTTGTTTAAGATTATATTTATCATTTATGTGAGAAAAGAGAGGTAGGCTGGTAGCTTCAAAGGATATGTGTTTCGTTTGTTGAAAGGATATAAAAAAGTGAATTACTAAATTTTAATATAGTAAGTCAGGTCATCAAGATTGTACTGTTATTTTATCCTTACCAATGCAATTACATGAATTATATTAATTAATAAGCAATTTTGACTTGAATAATATATAGAGGAACGTGTGACAAACCTTGATCATATATTTACCTTGGACTTAGTGATTTAGGCTTGTTGGGTAGTTGCTAACCACCAATAATAGTTGGTCAACTTGTCAACAGAGTCACAAACTAACTTGTATTGATAAACGTTGCATAGTATTTCTAGGAAAAAATAAAACTAGTGCTTTTCACTTTCTGAAAGTACCGAAGTATTTAGTTCCTACATCTTTTTCTTCTCTAACCACCCCATTTTGTTTTCCTTATTTAATGATAGTACAGTAATTTAAAGTATTCTCCTAGCAACAAAGAAATGAGCTTAAAATATATTTAAGCCTAAAATAAAAATAGCTGTTTTATTTTTGTGAAATATGACTGTGTGTTTTACCTTGAACCCAGTCAATATGTGAAACTAAACTCAAAATCCTGAAAAACTAAGCATGGAAAAAGAAATCCGCTACACAACAACATTATATCAGAAGAGCAATGGATCAACCACTACACTAATTTATGGTAGAAAGAGAAGATAAAGCAAAAACAAGAAGAAAAGTATAACAATACAATGAAAATTACAGCATAGAAAAATGATAGTGTGGCAGAGAAATACTAAAGTGATAGAGAAATAATAGAAGATTATAACATAGATCTTCCTCACTCTGATTACAGTACAGACCACAGAATTTCAAAATAAGGAAGATACAGTAAGTAAATAGAGAGGAACTAAAGGAAGTAATAAAAAAGGCAAAAAACAGGAAAAGCCCAGGATCAGATAACATTAACCTTAAGCTGTCATAGTATGGTGTCCTGGAATTAGAAGAGAAACTGCTCGACATCATGAATGAAATATGGAAAAATATTACAATCCCAAAAGAATGGCAAACTGGCATAGAAATGAATATACGCAAAAAGGGGCCAAAAACAAATGTAAAAACTATTGAGAGATGATAGTACAAACTGCAGCCTACAAGATATGTGCAAGCAATCTCAGAAGTAGCCTGACTAGACATTGTGAAGAAAAAATGAATGAAAAATAATGTGGCTTTTGGAAAGGATAAGGTATCACATACATAATATTTGCTCTAGGAATAATAGAAAGTAGATGTGAACCAAACTGGCCTATTTTTCTGCTTTTTGTAGACTACATGACAGCTTATAACAGTTGTGAATAGAAACAAATTATGAGAAATTTTAGATCATAAAAACATTGACAGACACTTAATAGAAGCCATCAAGTTTTCGAGGGATTGGACATCAAAATCCAATATACAAATGGAAGAATCATATAATCCTCATAAATGTTGGACTGCGACAAGGATGTACTCTATCACCACTCCTGTTCTATGTCATTAAGAACCAAATGGAAAACAAGGTGAAAGAGGAATAGAAATTGTAAGAGGCACAGAAATAATAGCAGATGACCACGAAATTTTGTCAATATCAGAAGATGTTTTACAAAGAGCAGCCCAAACTGAACACAATAAGCAAGGAATATAATATTAAAATTTCAATATCAAAAACAAAAACACTGGGTTTCATAGAAAAAAACACCCCAGAACCAAAATAGTATTAAAAGATAAAATAACAGAACAAGTGACAACTTTCACTTACCTAGAATAGCTTACCTAGGATACCTAAGATAGCTTTATGGGAAGAAGGCATAGATATAAAATTGGCAAGATACAATGGAATCAATTGAACAATAAAAAGTACATTTTGAAATATGACTAAAGAATTAAAAATTGGACTCCATAACATTTTAGCAAAACCAACCCTATTGTGCAATGTGGATCTTAAAACCAAAAGACAGAAATATATTAGAAGCAACAAGATAGTACCTGAGATCACTAATAAATTGTCTAGAAAAGAAAGAATAAGAAACAGGCCTAAGGAAAAGTCTGAAAATTAAAAACCTTGTAAATTAAATAGAAAGATACCATCGGAAATGGTAAAATGATGTCAAAAGAATGAAACCAGACAGATTACCAAAATAGATCCTGCAATACAGACCAAGTGATGAGAGAAAAAAGTGAAGCTTGCAGGCCACGGAAAAGATAGGACATGGAACACCTCTGGCAGTGATAAAGGTGTTACTGTATCAAAGAAATAGACTTTTAAGCCTCAAACTCAATAGTTCATGATGATGATGATGATGATTATGATGATTTCTTGAACTTCTGTTGCTAATTCTTCTTCTTTGTACTGGAGTCGTCTTATGTTGCTATTGTTTATCAAGTTACTATTTTGAGTCATTGATATGGTGTATGTCCATTATTATAATTGGTTTTGGGGTTGTAATGTATTTTGAAGCCTCCCTCTCTTCTTTGAGGTCTTTGAAAGGGTCTCACAGTAATACATAGTAGCCATGTTTCATATTTTCTTAGTTTCCGAGATTACTGTTCCTACTTTAAAAGCTTATAACACCCTAATACTGTGAGTTGTTCACATGTAATTCATTATCTTGCCATGTATTGTTTGATTTGTCATTTTTTCTGTGTATAGCCATTGAAATTTTTTATATGCTTCTGAAAAATTAGAAAAACAGAAATGGAAAATTTCATTGCAATACTCCTTACATGATTGTTTTCATGAAGAAAATATGTAACATCAGTGACAAAGTAAACACCATCAGAGAATTTCTTCTATGAAGGGCACAGCTGTCAATCCAAAGAATATATTCACAAACTACTGCATGAGTGAAGAATTATTTTTTTTATGGCACTTACATTGTCATGTCAATTCAAACAAATAGCATAACAGACAGGAGAGGGATTGCTGACGATTAAAAATTATCTCAAGGTCTTACAAAAAACAACCAAAAGTGAAAGAAATTCAGATAAAACCTCTGGATCTCACTTCACACTCTAGTAAAGCAGTGTCATTATGACACAAAGAAAATAAATTTCCTTTGAAATGTGTAATTACTTGTCCATTGAGAGTCACATTTGGTGCAGTCCCTGCCTGAAGTTTCATATATCCTTTTATAATTACACCATGATAATCATTACCAAACTCATTTAAGGTAGATAATGATTTACTGTTTATGCTGTAAATATAAGTTGTACCTGGATTCCATCCTGAAAGCAAATTTTGATCACATTTGATTGATGATTCTAAACTTGTTTATTTTAATTATTTTCATTCTAAATTTATTAAGTTTATTTTAACAATATGTTCTTTATATTTATTTTAACATTATTTTCATTATGCTAATTAAGAATTATATTGTAGGGCTTACCTGCCTCGGCTAGTATGCTTCCCACTGCAACATGACAAACAACAATAAATTTCAAATCATTACATGGAATGCCATTTCTTTCTATATCTAATGTAGTGTCTAGATGAATTATTAGGAGGGCTAGGATGTGTATGGAATAATATAGGTACCTAAATATGTCTTACAAACATGTGGACTAAAATGTTCAAAATATAAAGTAAAATGTGAACTAATGATTAAATAAAAATATTAAATTACAAAAATAATGTATGAATCAAAAAGTTACTTAAAAAGATCAAACAAAGAATTTAATTTTAATGGTAGCTGTCGAAAAAGATGAAATTGTTTACTAAAATAATCTGAACATTATTTTCCTGCTAAGCTATTGTATTGGAAGTCTCTAAATCCTTTTCTGATAATTGGCCATTATTAAGTTATTAGTGGGTGGAAACAAACTACTTTTAAATATTCAAAACATGAAACTGTCCTTTTTCTCTTAATATTGCTTTGTGCTGGCTAAAATGCTGCTTAACTGCAAAAGTAGTAATGATTCATTGATTGATTAATTTGTGATTCTGGGCACATCAACTTCTAAAGTTATTAGTCTAATATGTGTAGTGAATGTTTTTATCACATTGGGTGGTGGTGATCTCCCTTCACTGATGGATGGTGAGATCAGGTATACTCCAACAGATATCTCTCACCAGCAAGTCACTGCCCCTGCCAGGACAAGCTCTAAGCTTCTGGCTGGTTTCCTGGTATGTTTGGTAGTGTAGTGCATGTAAGTGTAAGTGTGTAAGGAGTGATGATAGGAAAAAGAAGAAGAAGGAAGTATCATGTGGAGTCCAGGGTCCATTTGTTAGGGTACTGCTATGGCATTCAGCTAGTGTTGATTGCAGAAACAACAGAAAACTTCTAATCACAAGAGCTGGTCGCTAGAATTCTCCTCCAGACAGGGGCTGAATTCAACCTAGCTATGTAGCTAGAATCGAAAATCCTGCCACTGCAAGGACTCAAACCCTGGGATCTTCTGGTCAGAGGTACTGTGCAGTGATATCAAATGATGTCCTGAGCCACCTTAACCAGTCAGACGTAGTAATGAAGCCTACCTTGAACCCTGCAATATATTGTGGAGTTAAATACAGCTCTACTTTAAAATATTTAAAACTTTAAATTGCCCTGAATATTAAAAATAATCTCCTTAGAATAATTTTGAACATTAAATGTTGAAATAAGCAAACAAATATATTTTTTTTATATAGAGAGAGAAAAATATGGATAGATGAAATTAAAACTGGACGAATACTGGACTTCTAATCGAGATGATGGTCATTGACCCAGAAATGGAAGTACACTTGTTACAGTGTTATAAGTACTTTTAAAATTTTACATTACTAATATAAACTAACACGTTGTATATCATTAAAATAAATATTATTTTTCTTTTTAATGTTCAGCTTAAACAAACATTACATTAATTAACATTATTGAATACATTAACTAATAATAATACTCTTGTCATTGATTGAGTTCAACTGATATAACTTGAGGATGTAAATAATAGATACTCTTACTAAGTAAATCAATGACTGAATCTCAATATCTGTTTTCTGTACATTACAGTAACTTATTTGGTGTATATGGATACACAGTGACAAGATGGTGCTTAACCGATTAAGAACCATGATTCCCACTTAGAGACTGCAAACATCTGTTATTACTATGCAGTTACAGTTAGGAACTTTATATCCTCGTCATAATATTTCTAAATCTGATGCTTTCAGAATCCAGTGTTGACAACAGGTGTTTCTTTAAACTTCAATGAAGTGTGAAATAAATGAACAACAGTACATTTCTTCCACATGACTTAGGTGCAAATTTGTTCTCTTCTCAAACCCATATTTTCATTTTTTAGGTATTTTTAGAACAAACATCGTATGATTCTGAGCCTTCCAATTCCAGTATTATTGCACATTTAATCATTGATGAGCTACTTTTCAATGGTGGCATTTTCTTTTCGATCCCCATTTGGGGATCATTGTATTTGGTATGTTGTAAGAACATGCATTGCAGGCTGCATTGTGCAAAATTGATACAGAAGCTCTCAATCTTTTCTCTGAGTTTCTTTAACCTCTGTGTGTTAAAGTTAATTCACATATTTTAAAATGTAGGACATCCTCTAAAAATATTTGTACTGCTGGGCAGATTGTATGGTACTGTACCAACAATTATTGACAGTGAAGCCAATATGTTTCAATTTCAAGGTACCAAAATTGAATTCTGCTTCCACTTCGAATTTTTTTGAAAGAAGACAATAATGATCCACAGGTGCAGTCAGGAGTGGGTGGTAATGTGCTTATACAACTCATAGAAAACATTGACACACCTCAAGAATCTATTTCCATTTTGATAACTTCTTTCCTAGTTTTGAAATGGTATAAAAATCTGAAAGAAAGAGGCATTAGTAAGCAGATGGTAATTGTCATTTTGAACTCATTACCAAATGTTAGTAACTAACAAGCTAAAAGAAAATTAGTACAAAAACTTGTGATGTAAGTGATAACAAGTGTAATATTTTAAGTGAAGTAATATTTATAATTTCGAAGGGCAAGAATTACGTAAAATTTAAAATTATGCAGATTGACAAAAGAAGAGATAGGTTACAAATCAACTTTTCAATCATACCTTAATGCACATTACATAGACTTATGAGTGGAGTAAAGGAATGGGACTGAATGCACACAGAAAAATATAATTTGAATTTGAGAAGAAAACCTTTCCTCTATTTACAAATTTGATTTCTGTAGTCATTGTTAATGTGATTGTCTGGAATGGCAGTGACAATATGCCTGCACCTTTGCTCATTAAAGAACGGCAATCTGCTCTTTCTAAACTGCTTCAAAAATGCACCACAAGCAGCTTGGAAAAATGACTTCAAGATATGGGGGAGTGAACAATTGAAAAAGGGACCATTAAAAACAAATCCATTTGAAGAGATTTTTTTCATTAAATATATTTTTTAAAAAAAGATTAATTTAACTTTTAATCTAATTTCGGTGTGCACAAGATTTGATTACTGTATCATATTTCACTTCAGAAGCAAACTCTTTTGCAATTGGAAGTTTAGCTAATAAAGATTTTCTTAATTCATTACAAAACAGAAATAAGCCTAAGTTTTAGTTGGCTAAATAATCTTTCTGCAGCCGCATTGAATAATGACAGTGTTAAATAAACACAATTTAATGTGAAATGATTTGCATAAATATCATACAATGATATCATATATAATTGTATCACTAACAGTCATGAATTTGAGTAGACTGTTCATGGTTAATTTCTTGATAATTATATCCATCAGTATTGCTTACTATTTCTACAGATCTATAAATCAAATAAATTCTTTAACTAATTCTGGTTTGTTTTCTATATTATAAGGATACATGTCAACCAGAAATTACAATTTCCTCATATTAAAATTCTTGGTTTCAAAAATATTGAATTTTGAAGTCACCACAAAAGCCCAAATCTCAAATTAATGTTATTTCCAATATCATCTAGTGATTCCAAGTAAGTTTCAACCATGATTCTGTAGTGGCTTTTTCATGCCATTAGTAACTGAGGTTCTCAGATGTTCACCCACCCAGGAAAGCTTGTTTTGAGTTGCTTAACTTTCGTGATTTCATGGAGTGTAGTTAAGCAATTCAACTAATGACACATGCAGAACTATACAACCTGACTTTTATTCAAATAGTTCATTACTGGCTCATTCTTTATGAAATTTTAATCTATTATCTACTTACTACATTGTTTGTAAGGAGTAGAGATGTTAAATTTTTAGGCGAATTTCATAACTTCATTTTTAATTTCTACAAGTCTTAATTCAGCATCATTTTGCTTATCCTTTATATCAATTTGAAATTATTTAATCATATAAGAAGCTGTTAAAAGATAAATGTTACTTTCTGTATAGCCTGTCAAAATGAAGTTTATCTGATACATAATTCCAAAATTTACAAATTCAAAACAATTGATTGATATCAAAATTTTTGTTTGTTGGTTGGCAGTACCATTTTCTAATCCACCATTCACAATTCTCTGCAAAGCAGCTTCTATTGCTGGTAAGTTTTGTAAAGTTCTTTGTTTCGCTGATTTTCCAGAAGCTCATTTTTTGTCACAAAGTTTCCCATGTTTGTACAAATTATTGAATGAGATTATGCTGTTCTTCTTTTAATATTGATAGACACAGCAAGCTACCAGAATAAATAATACTGATTTTCTAATGTACCACAAAATAGTTTAGTTTGAATATTAGAATTAACAGCATCCATGAAAATTAAGTTTAAATGATGTGCACAGATGATTAAAATGCTTATGCACAAATGATTAAGAAATGCTTTGGGGTTAATTTCTCTAACCTTTCTTTGGAGACTTGATATTTCACCAAAACATTAGCCTCGTCATAAGATTAGTTGTAACACATGTATATAGAAAGTTTTAAGTTGTCATTTAAGCAATTTTATAAATTGCTGTACCTCATCCTCTGCTCACCTCAATGGCTACACCACTGTCACCCTCGCTACATCAAAGTCTGTTGAGTGAAAACAAACTGTGAATTGTATAAAAGGAATGTAAGAAATGTATATTTCAAATTAAATATTATCTATTGTTTTGAAGAGATGTTTGTCTAGCCACACAATTATGATAAAAATAAAACTTAAAATGCATTTTATGTTTCAGGCGTATTTTTATCACACCAAAAACTATAATCTTCATTTGGGAATTGATTTTATTTTGTTTGTAAACACTATTTGAAGTGTTTTCAAAAATATTGTGCCCGATGCAGTTCTAGAAATGAAAGCTTGACAAAGTAACCATTTTTGTTAATTTTAAAAGTCTGGATACTCAATGGGTATAGTTTAATGGATTTGTTATAAGCTGATTTTATATTACGAAAGAACATGAAAGTAGGCCTACATTTTATGACAGTCATATTTACACTATTATCATATTTATTATAAGGTGCTCGTAAAAATGAAGAACTGGCA